AATCTATAGGCTGCATAAAATTGTGAGAAAGTAGAAAGATTTTTTTTTTTTTTTTCTGGGTATCCACCTTTTTTTTTTTTTTTTTTTTTGAACTGGGTATCCACCCCTGCCACCCCCGAAAGAGCGCTTGGCGGCGTGACTAATGCTCGGCTGACTTAGAAGATGCACCAACTCTAGAAACCTCCTGGTCTACATTTGATTGGGCTCTACTTAAGAGACGCTAATGCTCCAGAAAAATCGAGCACAGATTGGGGGATTCCCAATCATACTCGCCCATCAACCAAACTAAACATCGGTCGGTGGGTAGAAAGAAATTTAAAATGGTGTTGCCTGATGGACTGGGGAGGAATCAAATCAAAGTTTTGTTTGTTTGTTAGTTGAGATGATAAGGAGCAATGCCAAAGGACAAATGTAGCATGACCAGTGACATCAAATAATTGACATGTCATCTACTACGTATTCCCTTTCTTCTTCTTCTTCTTCTTATCAACAAGATTAAGTTTTTTTTTTTTTCAAATTATTATTAAATCATGAAGCTTAATTAATATTTCATTGTCGGAGAGGTCGATCAGGAGAAGCCGAGTGAGGCGGCCGAGTCCTCGCCGGAAAGATCGTTGCCGGGGAAGTAGAGCGCTCATTTTGAGAGTGTCAAGAGAGGATATGAGAGGGAGACGCCGAGGTCAAGAGATGGAAGGAGACCGCCGCGATGTTAGTCTGCCATTGTAGCAGCTAACTGAACGCCGGCGGCCGGCCCAGGCTTCGGAGGTACTTCAGTACTTAGCAGCTAACATATTTGAAGTCTTTTCATATATTATATTGAATGTTGTACCCTAAATTTATAACCACTTAAATGTTATAGGATTCCCTAATCAAACATCTGTACAGTTTGCCTGGCATTATAGTATTTCATGAGAGCACTCCCTCCTATCTTTCATCACCATATATCTATTCCTCTATAGGTGTACTAAAGGGCAAATTATTACGTCCAGTAACCGGACGTCCTGACACCCAATCCAGACGCGCCACGTCACCTAAATACACTGGTTTCCAGACAGTGTATTTGGGTAACGTGGCGCGTCTGAATTGATGTCCGGACGAATCCAAAAACACTAGACGTAATAATTTGCCGTACTAAAGAAGGCATCGACTGCCATATTCTATAACACCTCTTATTATTACATCTATTTCAAGAAAATGGCCTCTCCATCCATCAATCTCCTTGAAGAAATATCTCTTCTATAGTACAAAATAGCTAGCTCACTACAATGGATGGCCAAATCGTGGTGTTTGACAATGATATACTTTATAATGAACTTCTTTTTTATTATATGGGTTGTAATCAACATACTAAAAACAGAAGGATTAAGAATTAATTTGTTACTCACTACATTATTAGATATATTAAAAAGACTCTAAGAAAAGGATTAATGAATACTCAAACTACCCACTTATTATCGAACTATTCTTTGAGTTAGTTATATATGCTATGTTAGACGTCGAAAGAAGGTCAAGTTTTGTGTACTATATTTTTATTGCTTATCACTGTAGAAAAATCATCTATTACTGACGGAAGCTAAAGCTATATATATGTTATGTGATATATATACACACTAACTTGAGGGGGAATTTTAGCATATGCTGGTTTTTAGCAAAATAATATTATATATAATTAAAAGTTTATATTAAGACTAATATTCTATTTTCCTTAATTGTAATGAATCTCTTCTTTATTTAATTAATTATTTCTTATCATTTTAATCTCATGCATCTATATTCAAACAATAAAAAATAAGATAATGAAATTCTCTCCACATAACAACTTCAATTTCATGTGCTTCTCCTAGAAGAAGCATGTGACCAAACTACACTACAATTACAAACTAAAGCATACTCTCCCATTACAATTCATGAACCAAAGACACAATGCCAAGGAAGGGCAGCTACCAATTCATATATAGTCAACACGTACAGAAGCCAAATTAGAAATGGATCAATAGCAGTACAGCACACAAGATGATCATCATATATTCAATAAGCATTCTCTGAAAGTAGAACACAATACTGATCAATCCTAGAAATTCATCATATATTCTTCATTTGGGACGGCTTTTTAGTGCTTTTTGAAGCAACTTTATATAAAAAATGCTACTTAATTTAAAAAGTAGTTAAAAAGTTGCCCCAAACGAAGCCTAATTAATAATATTGTATTTTTTTGTTGTAGTTTATCATTTGTGTGGGAGACTAATTATGATAATTACCTTATGTTTGTAATTGGAAGTTTTTGGGCTTGTTTTTCTTTTTTCTCTTTTCTTTTTATTTTTTGTGGAGTAAGATATTTCATTTTAGTAATAGAATCATGAGATCCTTTTGATTTAGGAAATAAAACATAATAATCTCATTGCACATGCAATGCTAAATTGGGTCAGACTTTTCTCTGAACTCAAAGGCTGAGTGATCCGACTTTATGTAAATTGTATATTAATGTCTTTAATTATAGTTGATTGATTAACTATCATCATTTCAGTCAGCCTTCACATTCTGTTTGTCCACAACTTATCGTAATCGCTCTGCTAGGGTTTGTTCTGCTCCGAGTTTTCCCCCCACCAGCAGGGGTTTTAGCCCCGGCGATCTCCAAGCTTCAGGGAAGTTTTTCTTTTCCTGGTTTTGTTTTTTGGTTTTGGAGGCTTTTTAGCTTGTTTTTTTTTTTGTTTTTGCCGGCGGTGCCGGCATGGCACCGAATAAACTGAAGGATCTCGGATTTTTTGGTGGGGTTTCTCACTCTAGGTCATTTCTTGAAGCTCTTGCTGGTTCTTCACCTTCTTTTCCTGATTTGAGGACTTCTACTTACCGTGGTTTGCCGTCCTTATGGATTTCCGACCAGGAAATCAAAGAGCTTGCTGCACCTTTTCAGTTCTCGTTAGTTGGCTTTTTTCCTTTTAAACGACCCCCTCTCGACTCTATTCGTAAATATTGTTTTTTCAATTTAAAGCTTAAAGGAGAAGTTTCTGTTACTGTTTTTGATCCCTCTCATATTTTGATCAAACTTTCCAATGATCTAGACTATTGTAGGGTATTTTGTCACCATTCTTACCTTGTATTCAATTGCTATATGAAACTTACTAAATGGTCGCCTAGCTTGGATATCGGTGTTGAGTCGCAGGTTATCTCGATCTGGATTTCATTTCCGCGTCTTTGTCCTCATTTCTTTTCTCCACGGATTCTGTTTGGGCTTGATGAATTATTTGGCAAACCTCTGAAAATCGACGAAGCTGCATCTGTTGGTTCCCGTCCGTCTAATGCCCGCGTATTAGTCAAACTTGACATAACAAAATCTTAACCTAAGCAAGTTTGGTTAGGATCTGAAACTTTAGGTTATGTTCAGGAGGTGGTTTTAGATGAATTTCCACAATTCTGTGCTGTTTGTAAATGTATAGGGCATTCTTCGGGTAATTGTCGTCCTGCTGCGTCTGTGAATCCTAATTAATCGTCTATTCCGATTGCTAATTTAACACCAATCTGTGTTGTAAATGCTGATATGGGTGATGCTCCTTCTGTGCCGGAAGTTTTGGGTAATGTTGTTCCTAATACTGAGGTTGTTCTCGTGACATTACCTTCTGTTGAATCTCCAGGTTGTACCCTTGCTGATGGGGATTCTCCTGCCCTTTTGGCTGGTGTTGATGAGTTGCATGTTATTCAGGTTGGATATTCTGGTGTTGGGAATTGATGAGGCTGTGGGCTCTTGTCCTATTTTAGTTCATTTAGATCACGCACCTTCTCTGCTGCCTGCCGTCGATGGGAGTTGGTTAACGTCGATTCTCCTGTTTGTGTTTTGGAGGATTGTGGTAGAGTGCAGAATGTTGTTGCACCTGCGGAATCAATTGAGATGGGTGGACGGGTGGAAAATTTGAATGTGCAATGAATGCTGGTTAAATCTCACAATTTGGTTAATGTACCCGTGAATGTGATGGCCCCCCAAGCTCTGATGCACCAGGTGAATGTTAATTCTGGATTGGATGTAAGGTCCCATGGTGATTGGTTGCATTTTTTCGTCTGAAGATGAATCCGATTACGGCTCTCTTGCGGACTTTTGCGGTGGTTCGGATCCTAGTAACAAGTTTATAATGGTTCGTGATAGACCTGTTCTCACTATTGCATCTCGTGGGAAATTTCGTGGGAGAGGCGGGAGAAGAAGAAGATAAACAGTTTTCCTTATCATTTTTATCTATTATTTTACCTGATTGGCTTTTTTGCTGTTTTTGATCGAGGATGGGGCAATGATGTGGTTGGGGCTCTTGTCCTCTTCGTCTTGCTGGTGGCAACCTTTGGTGATGTCCTCAAATTGGGTGTTCGTTGTCCGCTTTATTCATCTTACTGGATGGTCCTTGCAAGGCTACGGGGATTCTGGAAGCCTCGGCCTTTTGCTGAGCTAGCCCTCTATTGATCTCTATCCGTCTTTTTTTATTGTTTTGATTTTTAGCTCGTGTATCCTATTTTTTACTGTTTTGTTCGCCGTATGTTGTAACTCCTTTTATTATTTTAATAAAGTTTTTGTTTAAAAAAAAAAAATCATTTCAGTCAGCCTTTGATTCTGACAGAACTATCATTCTAGCTATTTAAAATGGTTGGCATAAATCTGAGAGATCTCTTTCAGTTAACATATACACAACTTCTTGAAATTTTTTAAAATAAAACAATTTACTAATTTAATCATACTTCTAATTAACTATTTAGGAGCAAAATTTTTAAAAATTTTGATTGAATGATCTGTAGAAGTATTAAAAAGAAAGAAATATATGGCCTCTTCTATCTAATCACAATTTTTAAATATAGAACAAAACATAAATTCTTCTTAAATTTTGTAATTAGTTTCATCCCTTAGCTCTGATCAGTCATATGGTCACGAACTCGAAAAAAGAAATAATATATAGTTGTGAACAGATATATAACGATTATAGCTAGAAAGACAAGCAATAAAAACATATATAGCTATTGATAAGTCATTGATAAAATTCTTATATAATAACACTAATTAAATTAGCTGCTTCTTATAATATACATTTTATATTACTTAATTATTAATCTCAAATTAACCATCTAAAATTCCTCTCCAGCTGACTTGCTCGCACTGGCATAGTAAGAATAAGGCATGGAACTACTGCTCTCTCCAGCTCCATACTCATCACCTTCCTCCTTTGTAACTCTTTCTCCTCCGCCGCCGCCATCCATTGCCGACCTCTGCGTCGTCCCTGTCATGGATACCGGCATGTCGTAGCAGCCGAGAGACGGTTGCAGCATGCCTGGTGGAGCTGGTCCGACCGACGGAAGCTTTGAAAGTAGCGCTTCAAGGCTGCTCATTGATGGAGCTATCTTCATCTGTTGGCTGAAGTGGTCATATAGATCGAAGGTCGGCGCCATAGCCGAAGCTGCTAGAGCTTCCCGGGGGATCGGCGCTGCCGCCCAGTTGTCAGACAGCTGTCCGTCGATCCTTACGGGGACCGTGGATGATGAGGGGTGTGGAAGGAGGACGCCAGGGATGCTCTCTAGGTAGGCAAACTTCTTTCGAAGGAAAACTATAAAGCTGAGATCTTCCATAACCTTTTTTTTTTCAAAAATGAGATTTTTTAGATAGATATCTAAGTAGCAAAATTTGAACTTTTATAATCAATATAGTTTTGATGACTTGATCTTTTGCATATAATAATAACAATAATATGATGCACGAGAAAATGATTGGTTGATAATTTTAGTAAGTCAAATTACTACAAAGAATATTTCTTCTTAACTAGTAAAAAAATTCTTAGAAATTATAAACTAGAAAATAATGAATAAAATCTTATTATTTATGGTATGTAATGTAAAAAAGTAGTTTAAATCAGCAAATTAAATTTAAAATGTATAAAAAGCAATCTTTTTTGTTTATAGAAATTGAAATAAAATGCAATGAAACATCTGAGGTTTTTAATGAAAAAAAGAGAGCTTTGTTAAACCAAATGGAGGATAAATATGTAAAATTTGGGTATAGGGAAGACAATTAGCCCCCTCAAATCTAGACATGATGAACTCATGCATGCAATGTTTCGCATGTGCACGTGAAATTAGCTAGGGTTCATATGCATGCATTGTATTTTGTGCATGCTTTATTAATTACTTAATTATATTTTCTTTAATCAATTAAGTAGAGAGAGAGAGAGAGGTGAGAGAGAGAGAGAGAGGTGAGAGAGAGAGAGAGAGAGAGAGAGAGAGAGAGAGACCTTGTTGACTGCTCCAAGCTGAACAACACCTTCTCTGACTGCAATCAAAGCAATGGTCTGCATAAATGAGTGGGGAAATGAGGAAAATTTCTAAGAAAAGAGAGTACCACCAAAAAAATAAACATTAGATCAATAAAAATAAAATAAAAATTTATACATAATGATTTGATGTTGAAATACTTTATGGATAAGCATTACTATTATATGGAAAAAACAAATGGTGCAGGAAATGTGGTGTGAATGAACCTTAATACCAGACTGGAACTGTGCTTCCCATGTCCTCGGATGCTTGGAAAGTAATAAACAAAAATGTAGAAGAGCAGTAATAAGTGTTAATAAAATCATAATCAAGACCTGAAAATCTCTAATTAATTAATTAGTACTGATAAACAAACATGGAAATATATAACAAGCCACATACAGAATCAGCTGGATTGTTCCATGATGTGAGGAAATTAATCTCCTGCTCCTGAGGTTCCTTATAAACCCACTTATGGCTATGATCTGCTGCAACTTTGCCTATCAAACTGTCCGATAAGGCATTAAGAGTCATGTGAACTAATTAGAACAACTAATAATTAGCAAATTAGTTAAGTAATCACTAAGCTCGCTAATTATTTTGATAGCATAATGCACCCTTCTCCATAGTTGTAAATCTCATGAGACATTTTGAAGAAGAGCTCTGGTTGAAGCCCCTTAGTTGCTCCGCCTTCCCCGCCTCCGTCACGGTAGCCGGCCGACGAGCTTGGCCCGCAGGCCTGCTCGATTGCGGAAGCGGCGAAGTTGCAGAATCCATCCTCCCATACCAGAATCCTAAGCAGATTAAATTGACAAGAAGAACAGAGACAGATTAAATTAACCAGAGAATAAAATTTCACAATATAATATATAATAGAAGCACTGACCAATTTCTTCTGTTTCCTCTAGCTCTGTCATAAGCTCCTCCTTGGAGATCCCATCTGTCATGGAAGAAGAGACAAAGGAACATAATACGCAATTATTCATTCATTTGTTAGATGCATAAACTTTTGGTCAGTCTTACTTAGGTGGTGGGAAGTTTCTAGGGAGGATTCTCCAGAAGACAGCATATAGCCAGCTGTGGGAGTTCTCCTGGCTGCAGAGACTCCTTAGTGTGTGTTGGAGGAGGTGGGTAATGGCCAAGGGGTTAAGCTGTTGATCTTCCATGACAGAGAAGAAGAAGAAGAAGAAGGAGGAGGAGGGAGGAAGAGGGAAGAAACTGGAAGAAGGCTACTTGGAAATATAACACTGTATAGTAGGAGATCAATCATATAAGTATGTCACTAGGCAAAAGCAAGTCCGACATTATCGAATCCATCCCCTGAACCGAACCGAATATATGCTCTCTCTCTCTCTTTCTCTCTCTTATATTCCTCTCTTTCTGAATGATAGAATACTTAATCATGATGAAGCTTTAGCACTGTGAACTCTGAAGCCCCCACAACGAGGCTATCTTCTTTCAAAAGATTCATCATTTGCGCTTTTTGACCCTTCTGGTTACACCTTGAAGTTTGAAAAAAAGTTCCAAATTTCAGATAAAAGTATAAATAAAGAAATAAAAACAACGAAAATCTTGAAATTAAAAAAAAAATTCATGCTCATTTTTTACGTTAATATTCAAGAGTGAATTTTCATTTTTGTATGAGAAAAAAAATAAATTATATATATATTTTAATAAAGAAAGTGAAATGTCTGAGGCATCGGAAATGGAGCAGCAGGCGTACACTGTACCTTGAGATTCGTATTCTGATCAGAAAGTGCTTTCTGAGATATCACAATACAGCTTTTTCAGATTTCTCTTCCATTCATTTCCCATGAAGTGGAATAGGGAATCAACGCCAACGTAGCAAAATTTTTATATAAATTATTATTTAAAATTTTAAAATAAATTTCTTTATATTAAATTTCCTGTTCGAAATTCAAATTGTCTAAATGTATTAATGATTGATCAGGATGAGAACAAAATTGAGAAAAAAGATAAAGATAATGACCGATTGAGCTTAAATTTGTTCCCAAGTTTTGATGATCTGTTTAGTACGAATCGAATGATGGCCTTACATATTTTACTTAATTTTAATAAACGTGAGAAATATTAAGACATAAATTTAATATATATTACTATTTGAGAAGACAAAACGACAAAGCAAAGAGTTAATGAGGATGCCTAAGTCAGTGGTGTGTAAGAATATATTAAAGATTTTAAGTATATTTATTTCTGTTTTTCTCCGTTTGTTTCAAGGAAAAAATGCATCTTCTATAATAATTAATGGTGATTGTAAAGTTTTTGATCATTTGATTGAGCTCAATTTGGTTACATGCAGATCTCAATTAGAAACTTTCAAAATTAAATACGGGATTATATAAATTTCGATTTCAGCGAATTTATAATCAAACTGAACATCTTGATGTGAAGAACCCAACGACGCCTAAATCAGTCCAATGCCGAGCCCAAATGGACCTAAAGCGATGACTTGATATATATTTGGAAGCTTCAAAATATTAAATGAATGATTACATGATCTTTAAATATGACATGCTTATAATTGAATCAAGCGGCTCTATGTGATGAATCCAACGAGCCCAAGATCGCTTAATTTTGGCATCGTTAATGCAATTAAATGCTTGAAGTCCCTATCAATGTATAAAACACAACTGGCTACCTCCATTGGATCCATGTGCTTCTAAAGAAAATTTTAGCCACCACAGATCACAATGTCGTGGCAATTTCCAATTTTGGGGCTGGACGCCAGCTTCCATTACATTCTAAATAATAATGATAATAAATCTTAAAATATATAACAATTCTCTAAGAAGGAAGGTTTAATGAAGGCTTGTTCGAGCTCAACTCGAGCTTGATTCAAGCTATTGTGCTAGCACATCAAGCTCGGCTCGTTTAAATTCATATTTCTTTGATGCTGGTTTGAGCACGGCCCGAGCTTAATTCATTTTGTGATTATAGAGCTTTAAATGAGTAGCTGGTTTGAGAAAAAATAAATTATTATTGAGTTTAGAAAATTTAAAGTTAATTAGATTTTGAAATATGGGGATTAATTTTTATTAAATCTTTTTAAAGTTTGTTCAAATTAAGATTTCATTCTCCTTTAATATTTATAAGAAAAATAATTTAAACATGCAAATGATGTGGGACTAAATAACAATTATAGTGGGGTAAGGGGGTGAGAGAAGAAATGTACGTGAATAGTAGAAGATCTTTGAGATTTTTTTTTTTCTTTCAAGTGGGTTGCTTCACAGAAGTAACTCTAAGACTCCTGATTTAAGGCTTTCTCTCTCCTCTCCCTTTCTCTCTCTATCTCCTCTCTACCCCATCTTTGCTCAATCATTTATTATGTAACTATTGACAGAAAAAAATTATTTGAAAATACACTTCATTAATCATATCAAAGCAGGGGTGGTGGAACCAACCATAATTTCAGGGGTAAACATATAAGTAATAACTTTTGAAAGATATGTCGGGAGTCCAAGGGGGCAGCGTCCCCTGGCGGTGTTAGCCCGGTCAGGTCGCGGGGTCAAGGGGCAGTGCCCCTGAACAAATTTTGATTTACTATTTCTCTTTGTATTTGGTTCATCATTTCCTAAAAATAACACATATACACAATGTATTTAATTATATTGTGGGGAATTGTCTAAAAATCAAATTATTTTAAAACTCTTAGGGGGAACAATTGCCTAAAAACTATTGTAAAAAAATACTAAAAAATAGATTGAGAGGGACGAATTACATAAATAATCATATAATGAGACAAAAAATTTAGGGGGGAGGGGGAGGGGCAATTTTGCCCCCCCGGATCAAAGGGTTCCGCCTGCTAATCAAAGTATCATGTTAATAAATATGGAACCATCTGAACTCACGATTTCAACAAACTATAGTCGAAACTGAATTTCTCGAAAATAACAAACCAACGATACCAAATTTGACTCAACGAGCCAAATTGAAGATCCGAAACGTATTTGAAAAGTTCAAACCAAAAATTGAATATTTAAATGATTTCCAAACGTTTGGTTAATAATTATATATATATTATATATATTATAATATATATATATATATATATAAACTCAAAGGGTGTAGTGATAATAATTAAATATACAATGTAAAACTATGTTTACGGGTTTATAAGTGTATTCTGTAATGTTAAGATTAAGTAATTAAGATATATTTGTGGAGAGTTTTAAAATCATGACCATTATGAGTTTGTGTATAAATTAAAGAAAATTTTGTATGGATTGAAGAAAATACTTAGGTCTTGATATCATAGAATAATTCTTTTCTTTTAGGCATATATGTTATAAAGAGTATAGAAGATATGACCTTATTCATTAAGTAAATTGATCAAGATATTACAATAACTTACAATTATATTCATGAAATTTATTCAGAGTTGTAAATTAATCATTCTTTCATGAATTTGCATAAGCCATCAGCAAGTAGTTCAAAATGAGCATGATGGAAAAACTCAACTTCTTTGATTCAAGTTAAACAAATGGAGGGTGACATCTACATATATGTCTGAAACTAAGATTTCGTTTGAGACGATTTTCTTACTGCTTCTTAAAACAACTTTCAAGTACAACAAATTTAATTTTAACCATAAACCAACACAAGGAGTTGTAACATCTTCTATATTGACTATATAATAGTCTTAAGAGATTATCATCAAACATAACTTGGTCAACTGAGAGTCTATCCCTAAGAGAATATAGGCAACAAATGGGAGGGACTTTGTAGCATTTGCTGAATCTATGTGTAGTTTCGCTTGGTTTGATTCGAATGGGTAAAGACAACTCACTAAATTTTTATTATTGAACTCCTTTGCATGTGCCTGGGAATGTTCTGTATGCATATAAATGTGAATATGATCTAAAGTAGGCCTTGGGGGTTTGCGTACATGTTTGGGTAATCTAAATTTTTTTCCTTGGGGCGCCACAGCACTGGGTTTGGTGGGGTTACAGCTTTAAGCTTTCTATCTTTTGGCCAAAATAAATTAGGTGTTGCGGTGTTGTGGCTGCACTGCAACGCTCTGCTCCTATAAGGGGTGGCTCACAAATTCAAGCAGAGTGGCGCCTGGCTCAAATGTTATAGAATCGATTTAACAAGTGAATACATTAATATATAAGGGATGTTAGTCACTTATAGTTCATGTTGAAAATTCAGAACATAAAATTGTATGATCTGATAATATGGCAATTGTTTAATTTTATTAGATATATTTCTTACTTATTATCTGATTAGGAAGTAGAGTTTGCAATAGATCTCCTACCAAAGATGACACTAATCTCAAAGACATCTTATCGGATGGCTATGATTGAGCTATATGAGCTAAATATACAATTTGAATACCAGATAAATAAAAAGTCTATTCAACACACTTTGTCATTATAGGGTGCTCTAATTCTATTTATAATGAATAAGGATTTCAATATGAGTTTATTCATCAACTAATAAAAATCAAATAAACTTTCCAAAATGATAAGTATCTCCTTCCCTAATTTGATGGCCTTTTTATCAAAAAAATTTTACAATAATGTTTCTTGAAGAACTCATATTGAGATATTATCAACTTAAGATCAAGGAGTGAAAAGTGATTATAACAATGTCAACTTTCTAAATCAAATAAAATGTCCCATGACCCATTAATTAAATGATATGGTTGTATCTCCAAGGTTATCGGTCCCCCCTCTGACACACACTCATACACAAGAACATATAATCTTAATATGACCAGTACAATTTTCTTATCATATCATGTCGACTAACAAACCAAAAAAAAATATTGATACGATATATAGTATTAAAATCCTACTTTGATTCTCTTGTAATAACCTTGACTAATGATATTTTTTATTTATCCATGAGATGAGACAAGAAGCCCTTATGAAAATGACATTAATTATATTTCTCCTTAATCTTCTAATTACATTGAAAAAAGTTTCTCTATGAACAAAGTGTTTTTTAATCAGATTATGGCTTCGTTTGTGATGATTTTTTTATTGCTTCTTGAAGCAGCTTTCTAGTACTATAAAAGTTAAATTTTTTTATACAAGAAAGCTGCTTTGAGAAGCAGCAAAAAAATCGTCCCAAACAAAGCCTAGAAGCACCCAGTTGAACTTGAAAGGTAAAAAAAATGCAACGAATAACTATGGTGATGATTTATTTTGGTTTTGTGCTCATGCAATTTAATAGAAACCATACCTTTCCTAGATAACAAATGTGGTGGGGTTGCTTGTTTCTACACATACATGGGACATTCATTCTTCTTTTTTCAATGTGGGGCTTAAACCCCACATCAAATTTGATAATTCTTTGAATGAGGCCAAGGAATCTTTAACAGCTAGAGTCCATGGGACTCCCACCAAAGCTTTCAGTTTAGTGCAAGTGTTTGATATCATGTTGTCAATAGAGTTAATGAAAAATCAAATATAATGAGACCATAAAAGCAAATAATAACTAGTTAAAAACATAAATGAAAATACTTTTAAAATATTTTTCATAGGAATATATTTTTAGGGTTGTCATAGATTGATTCTCTCCTAAATGAAAATACTTTTAAAATATTCATTACAAGATATTTTGGTGGAAAGCTTTTATTTATATTTTTGAGATTTTATTAAATGGAGAATCTTCTGAAAAATATTTCTTAAAAATATTCATCAATGAATATTAAAATTTCTATCAAATAAATATTTAACATCAACTTTGAGAGGAGAATAAAATGTTGTAAGTATTTTGATAGATATATGTTGTGATAAAAATCTTACTTTATTGTAGTGGCTATCTTTATCAAAATTTTGTTGCAACTCATTTTGCCATCAACTTCTAATTCACTATGGGAGTTTGTCATTATCAGAGTCTCTGTCACCTATGTCATCTTACTTCCCCTCATCATTAAGGCTTCGTTTGGGACGGCTTGTTTATTGCTTTTTAAAACGGAGTTTTAGTACAAAAATAAAAAATTTTGTACTAAGACTCCATTTTAGAAAGCAGTAAAAAAGCCGTCCCAAACAAAGCCTAACATTCTTAAGGATCTAACTATGGTTAGACTTCCTTTTAAGCTCTAAGCAATTATTTTTATCAGCCATTATTGTCTCTATTATCATAATAGTTGACATTTCTTCTAATATATTTTCCCAATATTTTTCATCATGTTGGTCAATTGAATACAACTCATAAGCTAATATTCATAACAATTAGAGTTTATGCAGATATTTTATATTATGTTGTTATTTTTTCTTTATTGATTGGCTATTTTTGGGTTGGTTAATGTAATAATTTGTCTATGTTTTAAGTAAATTTTCTTGATAAAAAAGAGCACATTATCATTTGGCATTAGGTCATAGCACCATGTTTTAATATTCTTGCTAAACTAGGTGGTATCACCAAATCCATGTATGGTTGAAATGATGATAATTTTTTTTTAATCTATAGAAATCTACTAAGAGTAGTGATATTTCCCTTTTCTTCTCTTAGTATAAATTTATTATATATGTTTATGTGGTTTACTTTCATAAATATCTATATATAAAACAAACATTAGATGCAAATGATGGTTTGGCCAGATGGCTCCATTAGCAATTAGACAGAGTCGATAAGAGTTTGTAAATATTGGGAAAATATATTAGAAACACTCGGTCCTCCTATACAAGTAAATAGGAGTCGATCCAGCTTGAATTATCAAACAAATATACAATCACAGCGTCGACCGAGATACTTCTTTTATACGTTCATATTAGGCCTTCAAGGTCTATAAGAATGCAAATTAACTAACAAAGGCATAAAGCTAACAACGAACTCAATCCTCTATCAGCAATTAGACAGAGTCAATAAGGTTCAACTGAAAAAATAAAATTCTCATAAAAACCCCGGTGATGACCATGTTGACAGGAAATCTCAACCGAAATGGACCACAAACATTCAAGTAAATACCTTCCAAATACCCATGAAAATGCAAAACTTCAAGAAAATATCGAAACCTGAAATATTCAAAATTTAAATTAACCATCAAAATACTTAAAGCAAAATCCATCCACCTTTTGCAACAGTTTGCCGAGATGAACAAATTCAAATATCACTTCAACTTACAAATAGCTAATGTATGGTAAAAAATATACTAGGCTATAATTCAAATTACTTATAAACTGAATATGTTTAAAATATCACATATGCAACTAAATAAATAATGAGTAAGAATGAAAATGTATTAATGATTGATCAGGATGAGAACAAAATTGAGAAAAAAGATAAAGATAATGACCGATTGAGCTTGAATTTTATATAAATTTATACCCTTAACTAATATTTTTTAATTTACTTACCCTCAATGCATACTTTTTGATTAAGTTTTTGTTTGAGACGGCTTTCTTACTACATTCTAAAAACAGCTTTTTAGTACAAAAAATTTTAGAACTCGGAAATTTTTGTACTAAAAAATTGCTTTAAAAAGCAGTAAAAAAGTCATCTCCAATGAAACCTAAAATATGAATAATTTATTTTAATAGATGTTGCATGGGGATAGTGATCAGCAGCATGACTGCTTGCTAGGTTTATGAGGTGGTCCAAGTCGCCTATAGTAATGGAGCTATAAAGTCTGCTTCATAAAGTATTATGCTATGCATGCTAATTTTATACTATACATTTTGGATAAGTATTTTAATGTGCCTTAAGCATTTGGTGTAAAGTATGTCGCCCCATGTGAAAAGGTGATTTTGATATGGTTTATATCAAAATAGAAGATAAAATATTTGATGGAAGAAGAAGAACAATCACAATAAAACAGAATAAAAATCAAAATTTTCATAACAAAAAAGTTTTTTTTTTTTTTAATTTTAAAATTCTGTGTAGATAACTAGCTAATATATTTTATTTCTCATTTATAATGATATAAATATTGTCAAAAGTTAATATTAATGGTGGCTGGCTTGGTCAATGTTCCTACTGGCAATACCAACTTGTTCAAATAGAAAGGGAATCACGTGAAGTGAGTTTTGGCATCCACAAACCCTCCATGTACTCACCAAAGTAAAAAGATGGTTGGCTTGGCTCCCTCCACCTTCTCTCTCTCTCTCTCTCTCTCTCTCTCTCTCTCTCTCTGCCTTTCTGCTGTGAAACAGGAACTCACTTTAGTAGATAGATAGCTCCATTCACCATCAAACCCCAACACTTTTCTTCAACCAATCCTCTCGATCTCTCTCTCTCTCTCTCTCTCTCTCTTACTCAAACAACCAGACAGAGCCCAGAGGCATGGTGATGTGGGGGCTCCTTACTATGTTAAAGAACAATAATGGCAGCCAAAGGAGAATGAGGAAAGATGCTTGTCTTGGTCAAAGGCAATGCCATAGGCATTGTAAAAATTATTAGCCAATCTTATCTCTCCAGTTTCATGAATGGCATATGGCTCTATAATGGCATACAGCTCTACATTTCTATTCTTATTATTCTATTCCTATATTATATTCGAAACTCAATGCATAAAGTAAAGAACAATTAAGAAAAATTCAAATAACCGTAATACTTTTTTGCATGAAAAATAACAAAACTAAACAAAAACAGAGAATCTGGCTACTGCATTAAACAAGTAGTAGTTGCAGAAACTTAAGCAAGGGTTGTAGAACAACTTTCCTGCTATTATAGGTGCTTCAGCATAAGCTGTAACAAGGTTATATTTAGAATGAAAATGGCAAAGTTGAATGAACAAATACTAACCAGATATCTGATGCAGGTGTAATAAAGCATAGTAATGGTCGGGCTGATAAAATCCCCTTAGCGATAGTAGCACAAGTTGTGGCGTCTCCAAATAGTGTGTTGGCACAAAGTACAGTGTGTTCTTTGCAACAGTCTCATACATCATCTTGTCGTCAACTATACCTCATCATTAATCATTAAAGGATGTCACATTTTTTCTATGTTAAAAAGCATATAAGATAAGATGAGTAGAAGTGGAATATGTGGCGTGTATATCCAATGATAGGAAGCTGTTGTAAGCTGCATTATTATTATTAGAGAGATACCAACGAGAAACACATTCATTCTCAATAAGTTCATTAAGAAAATGCGTAAATAGTAAGTGATAATAAGGGGTAATTCATGTGAAGAAATTTCTCCATAGCTGAAATAATTAAAAAAAATTAATTAAGTAAATTTAAGCCCTCCTTATAAAACTTTTTTTCTTAAGTTTTTTTGCTCATGTTTATATATAATGCATAGTGCAATAACACAAAGCTATCCAATATTAAAAAAATGGTAGGATGATAGCGCAATAACACAAATTAAGGAAATTACATAAGATCATTAAGGGAAATTCATGAATGCATTTGTAGTGGTGAATCAAAGTTATAACAAGTGGATTAACATAAATAACTAATTAAAAAATTAATGATCAATAATAATCTATTATTTTTACATAGATCGGCATATTTCTTTAAGCGAGCCATATAGAGACAAATAACTCATTGAATGATGGAGTGTCAAAGATGTAGTGAGTTGGGAAATTTAAATCCTTCAAAGTTAATTGTATGTTAATCAGCATATGGAGGTTGACTTGCATCTTTCCGGTAGCCAGTTCTAAGTAGCTACTCAGATGACCCCTAGCTTAAACATTCAGGAACTAAAGAGCTCATCTAGGGGTTCCCTGTGCCAATTTTAGACTATTAGGTCATTGGTTTAGATTAGGCTTCACCTTAAGCATTCTAGTTCTCTTCAATCTATAATTTTTATCAAATGTTGTTCTTAATCAAATCAAGCTTTTAGGTGAAGATTTTATATTTCTAATAATTGTCTTTCTATTTTGGAACAACTTTACTTATGATTTCAAATAAAAACTCTTCAATTTATGCATGAATTCCAAGACACTCTAGAACTATAAAAAGATCATGATTAAAAGTCAAAGCATCATTGACCATAAATAATTTGTTGAACACCAATATAGACATATATATTCTCAGGGACTATAGTTGAGGGTTTTTTTTTGACATCATGTAATTTTAATGATATTAATATACTTATTTTGCAAAATATTGTGTATCCTCTTTAAATTAAAACATAATTTTTATAAGTCAAAGGCACACTAAAAGAAGAGTGAATTAGATGGTTGATGAGGACCGATAAAATTATTTTGAAATCCTTCTCAACTCAAAACCTAGCAATCAAATACGTAAAAATAAATAGATTTACAATAAAATTAAACTCAGCATGCAACATAGAGGTGCACAACTATAGGTGACAAATTATACAAGATGTAATGAGTTATCAGGTTCAACAACAACAACAATAACAACAATAATGACAAGCCTTTATCTCTGTACATCGAGTCGGCTACATTAATCTTTTTTTTTCCATTGTGTTCTATTAAGAATCAAATTCTCATTTAAATCTAATTTTAAAAAAATCATTTTTAATACTTTCTAACCAAGTCTTTTTAGGTCTACATCTACTTTTCTTAACATAGATCAGATCAAATACATCTATTCTCCTAACAGGATGCCGGAAGGCTAACATTTTCTGTGACCAAACCATCTTTGGTGACTCTTTCTAATCTCATCTGCCAGTGGAGCTACTCCAACCTTTTCACATATATACTCATTTCGCATTATGTCTCGTAAGTGTAAAGTCACTCATCTACCTACGAATCCTCATCGCTACAACACTTAATTTTATGCTTATCTTTTAATGGCCAACATTCTGTGCCATAAAGTATTACCAGTCTTACCACAATCTTAAAAAAAATTTCTTAAGTTTGAGAGCTACTTTTCTATCACACAATAGGCCCGATGCATTACTCCACTCCAACCATCCAACTTGAATTCTGCTAATAATATTATCATCTATTTCGTCATTGCTTTGAACAAAAGGCCCGAGATATATAAAACATGCACTCTTTTTAACAACTGAATCACCCAATGTAACAATCCCACTGCTAGATCTATTACTGCTAAAATTACACTCAAATGATTCAATTTTATATCCACTTAAACGAAAATCTTTAGACTAATGAGTCACAAGGTGAATGATCGATATTAAGCACAATAAGTTATGTGATGCTCAACAATATAAGAATCCCATAAAAGTAGAAGCACAAATATGCAATGTTGTTGATTATTGAGTTAAGCTATGTGAGTGATTATACCATAAGCATAATGTTATAATTAATTTCACTGTACAAGCTTATGAAATTAATACCACCATCACATGGCGAAACCACACAAAAATACAAAGATGAAGTTAAAAATGATTAAACAATTGCTGGAGCAATATAACCTAAGAAGTACAATGAAATTAATATACTCAATTGCACAAGCTAAATAAATCAATCCGATAAGAACCAAAGTAATAAATGTGTCCAAAGAGGTATGATATCAAAATCAAAGCAATGCTAAGAGTTAAGAATTCTTTGATCGCAACTAGAATGGTTTTAATTTACTACATTTATTAATGAAGAATTTTAATAGTTGAATCATCATACAATATTGAAAGATAAGCAAAAGTAGAGTGAATGCACATAAATAAAAATTAAAGTATATATCAATTTAGATAAAATATTTTTACACCCAACCAGCCAACGCCCATATTTAATCTTCCTCTCATTTAGGAGTTCAATAGCACTAGCCACCGTTCTTTATGGGTAACGTGTTATTTGCCTGGAGAATAATTCTGGGATAAAGACACTGACGATGATGTTATTTACTTAAGTGGGGACAGTATGAAACCCCTTAAGTAAAAGAAGCTAAACACTTGAACATCGAGGCACCTTTTAGTGTAATGGTGGGAATTTCATTAAGAAATTCTATAGTTAAGTGTGCTCATCCCATAGAAATTTTAGGATGGGTGACCTCTTAAGAAGTTACACCAAACTCGTGAGGCTCTTAGGCTAAAGCGGACGATATCTCGATAGTTAAGAGTTTGGGCTGTTACACCACTAAACAACAAGTAAAGAAGGATCAACATATTGTTCATGAAAAAAGCATTGGCAATAACTTCAAGATCAACAAGCTGATGATAGCACTGGGTTCTAAGAGCAATTCAATTTCTTTTGAGAGCATTGGTCTTAGCAAAATTCACCGAGATAGAGACAACCATCACCTTTATAAGATATTTTATTTTCAACATAACCTTCGCAACATCATCATGTTGTTCAATCTTGATTAATCACATCAAATGGAGTTGTGATATAATGAATCTGGTATTAAAAATATTCTAATATAATTCCTACCCTCATTTAAAATCTATAAATAAATCCCAATTCTACTCATTTTTATAGTCTAAGATCCATAATTATAGATAATTCTAGGGCTCTAATAGCTTCTAGTAGTCTATTCAACCTTTTGATGTACTAATAATCTTTCCTACCTCAATTGACTTTTGTCATCCTTTACCAAATGATCGTCAATTCTACTCCCTTTCAAAGAAACCATCTCAAATGATTATCAATCTTCATTGCAACTGATCATCCAATTCCCCCCTTTCTACGGTAAATAAATTGTTTTAATTTCCTCTCGTCGTTATTTTTTTTTTTTGATTGGAAAGTCTCCCCCTTCACCTCTTGGCTTCATTCTTAGGCTATAAATTTATATTGCAATGACACCTTCCCTAATATTTTGAGAAGGGTGACAAGTTTTAATCAAAGATTGAATTAGTTAAAAAAAATTTACTGAGTTCTTCAAGTTTACAAGCTTTAAACTAGTATCGATGTTCTTTACATTTTTCTATTGTGTGAATATTAGTTCAAGGATAGGAGGTAAAACCCTATGTATCAATGTGTGTGTGTGAGATATTTATTGATGTGTTTATATATTTGCATATGGATACAATATTTAGTCCCCAGTTAGTATAATGCTCAAATGATTGAATGTACAATAATTAATATATAAAAGAATCATAGTTTATATCCAAATTAAACTACTTAGAAAATGCAAATAAGTCATCTTGGATTCATGGGAATTCTCTCTCCTAATTATATGACAATAAGTGGCATGGAAAGGATTATACTTGACACTTGCTCTCCCACTGTGAATTATTGTTCTTAAACTTCAGATGCATGCCTTCGATCTCCATCACACACACACATCTTATATCTAATAAGGAGGGATAGGACTAGATGAATTCTAAGGTTTTGAAATGATGCCCTAAATTAACCAACAAACCTAACCCCACCTTACCAAATCCATTAAGTCCATAGCCTTGGATCTGGTGAGCATCCATTACTAATAATTATTGGTGATTAAATTGTCTATTTTCTATTGGAGGAACTCTCTTCGGGTAGCAAGGAGAATGAGAGTACCCTTTCCAAGACAAGGTATGCTTTTTAGGAAAATAAATATAATGGATAGTTTAGGATAACTCATTATAAGTCTTAGTAGTTCATAGGTTAATATTAGGCATTCGGTAGTTAATGGATTCTTACATGTTTATGTATTTCTATAATACTCTCCATTAAGAGCGTTAAAGCATGATGAAAAGAAAAGAGTTGAACCTCCATTCTCTATGTTCCTAATATATTTCTCTGCTCCAACGCAATTTTTGGAGTTGTCAACATGCTTGAATCTACTGCTAATCGCCATCCCAACAATAGGTCGTATCAATAACCAACTGGAGTTCTTTTGATTTTGAGAGAGCCTCATTACATCAAGTACAATTAGAGTATGGCGGGCTCCCATGGAGCAGTCTCTTTTCTTTTGGGGGCCATTTAAAGGGATATGCATCATTGGAGGGTTGGAATCAGTATATCATAGATATTATTGGGGGTAAGGCATGTGATAAACAAAGCACAATGATCCTAACATTTTGTCTAAATGACAATATAGCCCTTCTACCATACACTGCTACTGGGAACTAGGGTATTAGAATTAATTGATCACATACCATACAATGAATTTTTCAGACGAGGAGCAATAATAACAATACTTAC